TTCCCAACAGTGCACAAGATTTCCAATTTCTTTTTTTAAGCTTATTTATATTGTTCAATTGAGAGAGAGAGATGCAAGCACCACCCCAGAGTCCCTATGCCATGATCCACCCCTAGTGTCAGCCCGCCCATATTATAGGCATGAGCATACACACCTGCATCTGGTATGCTCAAGGTCCTGGGATGTGAACTCAGAACTTTTCCAATGTGAGTCTAGTTGTGTTACCATCACCTAGCCCCCACAAGTCTCTATTTTTTTCTATATCCCTGCCAACACTTGTTATTTTACTTTGTCCATTTATTGTTTTGTTTTGTTTTGATAGTAGCCATGCTATTAGATATGAGGTGATATTCAATTTTTGTTTTTATTTGCATTTCCCTAATGGTTAGGGTTGTTAATCATCTTTTCATATGTTTGTTAGTCATTTGTATGTGTTCTGTGGAGAAACGTCTATTAAAGTTCTTTGCCCATTCTATAGTTCATTTTATTCATCTTTGAGTCCCACATAGCATATACTCCACTATTTTACCCCACTTCTGGAAATGGATTCAGGAAACCTAGGTAACTGTAAGGTGGTTGGCAAAGAAATTGTTGACCGTGTAAGCATATACTCAGAAATCCTAGGTTGATTCTCAAGTATATTTGGGACCCAAACTAAAGCTTTGATTATCACCTTTATAAACAATTGGCAGGAGTGCCACCTGAAGAAGACTCTTGAGTTATAAATGCATTTGTTTAGGGACCAGCAGATGGTATAATGGTTACATCACTGGATTCCCATGTAGTTAACTGCAGTTTGCATCCCAGACCCAGCGGCTTAAAACTCACACTGGATGGGTGTGTGTGCGTGTCCAAAATCCCAAGAGGAGAATGGAGGGAAAGGGATTTTGACATGGCCATCTCCCCTTCCCTGTGGGGATGATTTCTTGCTCTCTGTCTCTCCAACAATCTCATGTACCCTATAGTAAAAATCTCTCTTAAAAAAATGCATTTGCTTATAAGAGTTTTCTTTTTTTTTTTAGGAATTTTTTCTTTTCTTTTATTTATTATTTTAACTTGCAATAGTCATCAGAAGGAACGTGAGAAAGCAAGCTGCCAGGTCTGGGACTTGAACTGTGGTCAACCATGTGGGAGTCCAGTGCCCCAAACACTACACCACCTGCTGACCCTGTTTATAAAAGTTTCATTGCCTTATTATAAAACTAACATCAAGTGGCTTTTTAGAAGGAAAGATGTTCTTTTTCTGGAGTCAGACTACTTAGGGGAATTTGGAGAAGTTGATTTCAACTTTTTGGTGTGGAGATTATACCATGCCATGCTGAACTGTAAAGATAGGTTCTCCATATAGCAAGGTGAAGACTCGGGGGAGAACAAACTATAAATTGCATTGAGCATCTTTGGGGTGGGCATTTTTTCATTCAATAAACATCTGTCATGTGCTAAGAGCCAAACACTTGACAAGGGAGGTAGGAGTAGAATGGCAAGTTGGTGAAAGTAAAATTAGTCTAGTCTATAGCTTTCAAATTCTAGAACAAGGAAAAGAAGTACTGGAAAATTAGATGCTGGAAGGGAGAAATATTAACCATCATTCTCTGCCCCCTGATTCCATCTTTTTGACACAACATTTACTTTGATTTTCTTCTTTGACAATTTAGGGAAAAATTAGAGTGATTGATTAAAATGTATCATGTTGGAAAAGATGAAAAATTAAAAAGGTAATTTCCTTTTATTATCACTTTTTAAAAAAATTGGTGATTAAATCAATTGCTGCCTTTCCCCACCTAGAGAACACAAAGTGTTAGAGAACTAAAGAAAGTGTATGTTATTCAGAATTATTGTTTTATAAACTTGTCATAACCAACTTATCTTAAGATGACAAAATGAAGTAATGTATGTGAAAGCTTGTAGCAAAGCTAGGGGAATGATTTCCTTCTTTCTTTTTCTTTCTTTTTTTTTTTTTCTTCCTATGAAAAAATAGATTACTAAACAAATTAATAAGTAGGCAGACAAACAAGTGATGTGCTCTTTGACTTAATAGCGAAGGCATTTAGCAGCGGGATTCTAGTCGCACAGTGAATTTGCTAATTATAAATGAGTCCCATGTAGTATTTAAAGCATTTACAAGATTCTTAGAAGTCTTAGAGTTATTTCCCCTCTTCCACTTTTGGTAACACGACTGCAATCCTCAAAGAGAAAGAATAATATTGCTTTTAAAATGCCCTTGGTCAGACTGTTTGTTTACTTGAACCAACACCCTCTCATCTGTCACCTTCCCCTCCCTGACTGAAAAATCCAAAGCCAGCATAGGCAGGCCAAACAGGAAAGCGTGGCAGAAAAGGCTTTTTAAGACCTGTCTGCACAGTCTCAGTTCCTCTCTTTGCCATGTCCACTGTGATGCAGCTACAGTCTCTCAAAGAAACAGTTCCATTAGCCTGTTTACTGGTCTTTGCTATACTTTCATCTGATGAGCTTCTGCTTTTGTGACCCAGACCACAAACCTCATTGCCTTCTCTGAGCCACCTTTTCCAATACCTTCAGGTACTTCGTCCACTCCGCTACCGAATACCCTTAGCACTTTTGCTCAGATCCATTAAAAGTCTGTGTGTCCACACTCTATGACTGAAACTAATTGACTAAAGGATATAGAAACACAGTATATACATGTGAATACCAGATATAGTGTGTGTGAAAGAGGAGGGTCTAAGGAAGGACATTTAGAAGAAAAACAGGGAGGTAAAGCATTAATGGCACAAAGAAATGTGGTATTATCTTTTTTTGTTGGAGAGGTTTTCACTATAGGGCACGTACGCTTGCCAGACAGACAGAGAGAGACATAGAGACAGAAATCACCCCCCGGGGGGATGGTCACACCACAATCCCTTCTCCTCCATTCTCCTCTTGGGATCTTGGGCACGCACGCACATGCACCCGGCGTGAGTTTTAAGCCACCGGGTCCGGGACGCGAACTGCAGTCGACTACATGGGAGTCCAGCGACATAGCCATTATGCTAACTGTTGGTCCCAGAAATGTGATATTATCTGTTGAAGATATTTTGTTGTTTTATCAACTGTACTAGGGAGAAATGTTCAGCTGTTGAAATATCCATTTTGTAAGACAAATAATAGTGTGATTGAATGTATAAAAGAAAATGAAATGAAAATAAAATAATAAAAAAATCTGATCACGTTATATAACAGATGTTCACGAGGCTGTTTCTCATATTAGACTATGAGCTACTGAATGACAGAAACTGAAGCTTACTATCTTTGAACCTTTCCATTTAACCTTAAATACCTAGCATAGTCCTTGACCCAGTAGACATTCAATAAATATTGGATAAAAGATATTATTAAGATCAAGAAGGTAAATGGTAGTGAAGTCTGAAGGAGCAAAAATATAAAATATGGGGTCTCTGAAGTGAAGAAAAAAATAAATAGAGTTTAGGAGAAGGGTTTGGTAAGAGAGGGTAGAAACAAACAAAAACAAAAACCCAGGAGGGAAATGAGCGGGAAGTAGAGAAGGAGAGAAGGAAAGTCCAGAGACCAGTAGATGGTGTAATGGTTATATATTGCTGGACTCCCACGTGATCAACCGCAGTTCAAGTTTTGGACCCAACACCTTAAAATTCATGCTGGGTGCATGTGCTTGTGTGCCAAAAAACAAACAAACAAACAAATAAACAAAAACACCAAAAAACAATAAGCAAGCCAAAAGCCAGGAAGCAGGAAGCAAAGTGACATTGGAAATGGGAAGATGAACTGTGCGAAATGAGAGTATTTCTGAGTCTCATTCTATACACACTTTTCCATAGAGCCAAATCAGGATGGAAGGAAGAAAAGGCCAAAGTGAGGAGCGAGGCAGCACACAGTCCACAAGTGATGATTTAGACCACCACCTTTGGGCTGAGTCTGGGACTGGCCTGTTCCCTTGGTCTTTTTTCTTTCTCAGCTTCTCTATTTGGATTCAGGCATAAGCTTTGTCTCCTCTTTTCTCTTCTGCATCATGGGAGCCCCAAAGAGGCACCATGTATGTATAAGTACATATATGTTGGAACAAATAGTCATGTGTGTGTGATTGCTTCTAGCTGGGTGTTTGGTTTTTTTTTCTTTATTTCTTTTTCTTAACTCAAAAAAATAAACCCAGAGGGTAGTACCTTTGCAAGTCTCAAATTGTGCCTTTGTTGTGTTGGATGAGGTCATTTACATAACTGAGAGATTAGTCTGTAAGAACAGAAAACCTTGGAGTGTGCCCCCTAAGCTTGCTGAACTCATTTACAGTGCATGAAGGTTGGGATGCTGTTGTAATGATGCATGCAAACATTCCATGTATTTACTGTGTCTAAGACAAAATGACTTTTCAGACTCACGGAGCTCTCTTCCTCACAGGAGATGTGCCACTTGATGGTTGCGGCCTTTTGGAGTTATTTCTCGGGTAACCAAAACATGTCTCATGCCTACAGAAAGCAGCACAGTACAGCCCTGGATAAAATCCCGGAATCCAGGTTGCTAATGTAGGCTCTGCTACTTATTCTGAGGTTGAGTTTCCTCATCTGTCAAATGGGAGTGGGCTCATCCACCTACCTCAGAGGGTTGCTGTGTGGATTACAAGGGTGATATAGAAGACCTCATATGTGGTACAACATTCTACAGTTTGCCAGAAATTTCTACTACTATTCTGTCATCTGATCCTCTCAACAACCCTGCTAATTATTTTGACCATCCTTTTGCAGATAGAGAAACCAAAACTCAAAGAAAGAAAATGACTTAGCCAAACCCACATAGCTAGTTAGACAGGATGCTACAAGTTTTCTGTTTTCAAACTTATCTTCAGTTATCCCTAGACACAAATCTGGCTCCTTAGTACTATTGGCTTCTTGGCCCTTGTTTCTTAATATCTCTCATGGCTCCTTCTCCTTGCAGCCTCTGAGGATATTCTGTATAATGAATTAATTAGCTTTGATTTTGTTCTTCCCTTCTCCCCTCTTTTATCTGGCCTCCAGAAGAAAACACCAGCAGCCCCAACAAAGAAAACCAGCACCACCTTCAACATCGTGGGGACCACCTATCCCATCAACCTGGCCAAGGACACAGAGTTCTCCACCATCTCCAAGGGCGCTGCTCCCAGTGCTTCCTCAACCCCGACTATCATTGCTTCTCCCAAGGCCACCTACGTGCAGGAAAGCCCGGCTGAGACCAAGACCTACAACAGTGTCAGCAAAGTTGACAAAATTTCCCGTATTATCTTTCCTGTGCTCTTTGCCATATTCAATCTGGTCTATTGGGCCACATATGTCAACCGGGAATCAGCTATCAAGGGCATGATCCGCAAACAGTAGATGTTGGTGGTGGCACAGCAACCAGAGCACTGTATACCCCATAAAGCATACTGGCACCCAAACCCCGGGGCTCCCCTTCATGTGTTTCAGGATTGTTCTTTTTAACCCTCTACCAAGCTGTGACTCTAAATTCATATTTATTAATCCCAATGAAAAAATAACTACAGAAAAATTATTTGTCTTTCTAACATTGCTGAATATGCCCCCATCAGAGCCAAACACTGCCATTTGTCCAGTTGTTCATCTTAGTCTACCAGTCTCCCCCAGCTGAGGGCCCTGCATGTACTTTATTGCACTCTGCCCACTGCAGAAGGAACAGGAGACTACTTAATAAAGTGGGTTTGAGAGGTCAAGACAGGAGGATTGTTGACTGGTCCAGATCAGATGATTCTGAATCACTGGGGAGTCAGGCTGGGCTATCCCATGTGGTCCTGCCTACTACCTCCCCTGCCTACATCAGGGCCTACTGGGAATAAGTACTGATAGCAAAGGCATGAGCCAATGCTAACCTCTGAACATGGCCCCTAATAACTTTCTTGGCTTGGAAGTTAGTGGGGAAAAATTAAGGGTCACCACTGTTTACCACATATGGCCAAAACAAATAGAGGAGGGTCTAAGGAAGGACATTTAGAAGAAAAACAGGGAGGTAAAGCATTAATGGCACAAAGAAATGTGGTATTATCTTTTTTTGTTGGAGAGGTTTTCACTATAGGGCACGTACGCTTGCCAGACAGACAGAGAGAGACATAGAGACAGAAATCACCCCCCGGGGGGATGGTCACACCACAATCCCTTCTCCTCCATTCTCCTCTTGGGATCTTGGGCACGCACGCACATGCACCCGGCGTGAGTTTTAAGCCACCGGGTCCGGGACGCGAACTGCAGTCGACTACATGGGAGTCCAGCGACATAGCCATTATGCTAACTGTTGGTCCCAGAAATGTGATATTATCTGTTGAAGATATTTTGTTGTTTTATCAACTGTACTAGGGAGAAATGTTCAGCTGTTGAAATATCCATTTTGTAAGACAAATAATAGTGTGATTGAATGTATAAAAGAAAATGAAATGAAAATAAAATAATAAAAAAATCTGATCACGTTATATAACAGATGTTCACGAGGCTGTTTCTCATATTAGACTATGAGCTACTGAATGACAGAAACTGAAGCTTACTATCTTTGAACCTTTCCATTTAACCTTAAATACCTAGCATAGTCCTTGACCCAGTAGACATTCAATAAATATTGGATAAAAGATATTATTAAGATCAAGAAGGTAAATGGTAGTGAAGTCTGAAGGAGCAAAAATATAAAATATGGGGTCTCTGAAGTGAAGAAAAAAATAAATAGAGTTTAGGAGAAGGGTTTGGTAAGAGAGGGTAGAAACAAACAAAAACAAAAACCCAGGAGGGAAATGAGCGGGAAGTAGAGAAGGAGAGAAGGAAAGTCCAGAGACCAGTAGATGGTGTAATGGTTATATATTGCTGGACTCCCACGTGATCAACCGCAGTTCAAGTTTTGGACCCAACACCTTAAAATTCATGCTGGGTGCATGTGCTTGTGTGCCAAAAAACAAACAAACAAACAAATAAACAAAAACACCAAAAAACAATAAGCAAGCCAAAAGCCAGGAAGCAGGAAGCAAAGTGACATTGGAAATGGGAAGATGAACTGTGCGAAATGAGAGTATTTCTGAGTCTCATTCTATACACACTTTTCCATAGAGCCAAATCAGGATGGAAGGAAGAAAAGGCCAAAGTGAGGAGCGAGGCAGCACACAGTCCACAAGTGATGATTTAGACCACCACCTTTGGGCTGAGTCTGGGACTGGCCTGTTCCCTTGGTCTTTTTTCTTTCTCAGCTTCTCTATTCTGATTCAGGCATAAGCTTTGTCTCCTCTTTTCTCTTCTGCATCATGGGAGCCCCAAAGAGGCACCATGTATGTATAAGTACATATATGTTGGAACAAATAGTCATGTGTGTGTGATTGCTTCTAGCTGGGTGTTTGGTTTTTTTTTCTTTATTTCTTTTTCTTAACTCAAAAAAATAAACCCAGAGGGTAGTGCCTTTGCAAGTCTCAAATTGTGCCTTTGTTGTGTTGGATGAGGTCATTTACATAACTGAGAGATTAGTCTGTAAGAACAGAAAACCTTGGAGTGTGCCCCCTAAGCTTGCTGAACTCATTTACAGTGCATGAAGGTTGGGATGCTGTTGTAATGATGCATGCAAACATTCCATGTATTTACTGTGTCTAAGACAAAATGACTTTTCAGACTCACGGAGCTCTCTTCCTCACAGGAGATGTGCCACTTGATGGTTGCGGCCTTTTGGAGTTATTTCTCGGGTAACCAAAACATGTCTCATGCCTACAGAAAGCAGCACAGTACAGCCCTGGATAAAATCCCGGAATCCAGGTTGCTAATGTAGGCTCTGCTACTTATTCTGAGGTTGAGTTTCCTCATCTGTCAAATGGGAGTGGGCTCATCCACCTACCTCAGAGGGTTGCTGTGTGGATTACAAGGGTGATATAGAAGACCTCATATGTGGTACAACATTCTACAGTTTGCCAGAAATTTCTACTACTATTCTGTCATCTGATCCTCTCAACAACCCTGCTAATTATTTTGACCATCCTTTTGCAGATGGAGAAACCAAAACTCAAAGAAAGAAAATGACTTAGCCAAACCCACATAGCTAGTTAGACAGGATGCTACAAGTTTTCTGTTTTCAAACTTATCTTCAGTTATCCCTAGACACAAATCTGGCTCCTTAGTACTATTGGCTTCTTGGCCCTTGTTTCTTAATATCTCTCATGGCTCCTTCTCCTTGCAGCCTCTGAGGATATTCTGTATAATGAATTAATTAGCTTTGATTTTGTTCTTCCCTTCTCCCCTCTTTTATCTGGCCTCCAGAAGAAAACACCAGCAGCCCCAACAAAGAAAACCAGCACCACCTTCAACATCGTGGGGACCACCTATCCCATCAACCTGGCCAAGGACACAGAGTTCTCCACCATCTCCAAGGGCGCTGCTCCCAGTGCTTCCTCAACCCCGACTATCATTGCTTCTCCCAAGGCCACCTACGTGCAGGAAAGCCCGGCTGAGACCAAGACCTACAACAGTGTCAGCAAAGTTGACAAAATTTCCCGTATTATCTTTCCTGTGCTCTTTGCCATATTCAATCTGGTCTATTGGGCCACATATGTCAACCGGGAATCAGCTATCAAGGGCATGATCCGCAAACAGTAGATGTTGGTGGTGGCACAGCAACCAGAGCACTGTATACCCCATAAAGCATACTGGCACCCAAACCCCGGGGCTCCCCTTCATGTGTTTCAGGATTGTTCTTTTTAACCCTCTACCAAGCTGTGACTCTAAATTCATATTTATTAATCCCAATGAAAAAATAACTACAGAAAAATTATTTGTCTTTCTAACATTGCTGAATATGCCCCCATCAGAGCCAAACACTGCCATTTGTCCAGTTGTTCATCTTAGTCTACCAGTCTCCCCCAGCTGAGGGCCCTGCATGTACTTTATTGCACTCTGCCCACTGCAGAAGGAACAGGAGACTACTTAATAAAGTGGGTTTGAGAGGTCAAGACAGGAGGATTGTTGACTGGTCCAGATCAGATGATTCTGAATCACTGGGGAGTCAGGCTGGGCTATCCCATGTGGTCCTGCCTACTACCTCCCCTGCCTACATCAGGGCCTACTGGGAATAAGTACTGATAGCAAAGGCATGAGCCAATGCTAACCTCTGAACATGGCCCCTAATAACTTTCTTGGCTTGGAAGTTAGTGGGGAAAAATTAAGGGTCACCACTGTTTACCACATATGGCCAAAACAAATAGAACTAGCCTGGCCAGCCTGACACCAAGATGGCTGGTGCCCTGCCATGTCCAGCACCTCAGGACAATAGTACCCTTCTTAGTACATCTCCCCTCTAGTAAAATCCTCTTCTCTCTATGCCTTTGGTCCCCTTGTTCCCCTTGGGAACTGCTGTTTAGTTTGGAATCATTACTGCAAATCCTTCAGGAAAAAAAAATCAAGTATTTTAAAATTAAAATTTAAGAAGATACAAATAGAAACAAAAAGATCTAGACCAAATGCCTACGTGAGAATTTTTTAAAGCTGGGGAGATAGTTAAGTCACCTCCTGCCAAGGCAACTAGTCAAATATTGAATGGGGCAAGAGGAGTAGAATGGATGGTAGTTGAAGACTGAAGTTTAACTCAAAAGAGAGGGCCACTAGCAGGTGAAAGTCAAATTCTTCCTGCCATATTCTCCACACTCCATGCCCTCGCTCAGGCCCAAGTACTTTGCTCCCATCCTGTCAGAGACCTGTGGTCTTCTGTTAATACCATTTCTATGAGTGGAGAATTAGAAATTGATATGAACATCTCTAGTCAATTTTTGAGCCAATTAAATAATTAACTTTATTACTAGCTTTATAATGTGTTATTTATAGGGCATTTTATCTTCTTTGTTCTTAATCTCAATGTGACTAAAAGGGACAGGAATAAATATGAAATTTTTATAAGGCAGATAAACTAAGTCCAAGAAGTCAGAATGATTTCCATAGGATCTTTACAAATGTCTTTACTAAAGAAACATCATGCACTGCTTTCCAAAGACCAAAATGAAAAAAAGGACTGAGAAGCTGGGTTCACCATGATTTCAGAATCAGCACAATCTCAGCTGGCCTTCTAGGTCATGAGTGCAGTTTGGTTGAACATCTAACAGGTTTTTAGAAAGTCACAATGAGTCACCCAAGGAGACCATTCTAATAGTCTCTGCTGAAAGTAATGAGACTGTTTGAGAAGACAGCCCCAGCCACTTGGGATATGAGTACCTGCAGCAGTCCAGAGTGTCCTAGAAGTCAAGGTAAAGCCACAGATGGCACCACAAGCAGGTTCTCCCTGCCCACCCCCCTGAACAAAGCTCCTAAGGGGTGTATCATTAGCTTCTGGTTTCCTTTTCATTCATCCTTTCCCGCATCCCTGCTTCCTTGCCATTGCTGGGATAATGCATGCCAGTCCCATTACCCTAAGACTGTGTTTGTAGTATTAAATCCTTTCTGAATGGTATTTGCACTGGAGAATGTTTTTTTTGGGGTTACCCGTTGCCACAAACAGTACTATATTCTTTACTTTCACCTCCACTCTCCCACCAGCCTACTTGCCACTTCCTAACAAAAGTAGAATAAGAGAGAAGAAAGATATACCAAGAGCAAAAGATCTGTTACAGTGATCCAAGATGGAGCCTGTATGAAATAACTTTGATTGACTCAGGAGTCTCATTATTCAGTAAGACACAGAAGAAACTAATTGTGTTACTTCCTTAAATTCATCAACTCTCATAATCGAGCTTTCTCCTGCCTCAGTACCAGCCTAGAGGCTGCTTGAAGAGTGTCTAGCATATAGAGCACAGTTGAACTCAATAAATATTGATTGAATAACCAAATGCTAATTTAAATCAGAGCTACATGGGGAAGGGGTCTCTTCGGGGGGTGTTGGAGAGGAGACTGGCCAAATCATGATCAATGAAGATGAATAGAAATGAACAAAAGCAATGTGCAGCCTTCCAAATTTACTC